TCCAAATGACGTACATATCAATGACGTAAAGCTCCGAAGACCACAAAATTAGAAAGTTCTGACTTTTATTTCAAATCTTATACAGCTTTAGCTAATTTTATGAAGCTAATTGAGACAGGAATAGATAAAGAATGGCTCCAGAAATTTTCCATGCACCTCCTCGGCTTAATCTAAGACTGGATAACAAGCGCAGAATGACTCTTGCAAAAAGGTGCTACTTTAGGATTGGTATGCAATTGGGAAGCAGATTCATCTCTCGATGAACAAAAGTTACGCTCTTCAAGTCTCTCATTATTCCCGCCTTATTATACGGTGCAGAAACATGAACTATGACGACCCGAGATGAGAAAGCATTTGGAGTATTCAAGAGAAGTTTGCAAGATTTTTACGCCAAAGAAGAAGAAATATTCTCGGTTTCATTGTTTAAAAATCATTGGAGTCTCAGTTTATAGTTTAGTATCTCTACTATCCTGGCCCTTAACGTATATGAGTCCCGAAATTCCCAACTTTCGATATGGTACGTTCTAGATATTGAATTTAATCAAAGACGGCTTTTTTTTTAATTTTCACTTACAATTTTATTTCTGTAAATAAATAGTTGAATAACTTAAGTAAGAACTTAAATCAAAATCTGACACATGAAGCATCATGGATCTCCTCCTATCTACTTCGAAGATTTTAATAAACTCTCCGTATACGAAATCTCCGCTCCAAACTTTTGCAATACTTGAGTAGAATTCACACTAACACTTATCTAGATTAAAAGCTAAAGTTTGCTACCTCCCTTCATCTAATAATGAGAGAAAGTGCGGTGGTGTTGATGTTGCGGCGCATGCTTCGCTGCTAAATTGGCCGCCTGTGCGAATATTTGTTCGATTTCCGAATCCGATAGGTTATCGAAAAGTCCAGCACCCTGTTGCTGCTGCTGATATTGCTGTTGTTGCGCCGAAGCGACTGGTGGCAAGTAAGCTATGAGAGAAAAAATAGTAATACATAGTCCATCTACGTCCTTATAGTCGCTTCGTGTGTTTTTTTTCTTACCCTCTCCCGGCGAGCTGCCATAAGGCGGCAATAGAGTTAACGCTGGTCGGTTAACACTGGGTGGTCCGTAGGAAAGTATTGGTTTCCAAGGCTCTTCGGCTCCTTGTACAGCGGGCAATTCGGGATCCGGCTGTGGTGCAGCGATTGGCTGAATGCTAGGGATTTGCGGTGCTGCCTCGGCGCTACCACCCTCCGGTTTTTGCGAACCGGGCAACGGTACAAGAGGTGGAAACTGCGCCTCCGGTTGCACTGGTATACTTACGAAGGTGGGTGATTGCTCGGGCCGACGGGGTGGTTGAACACCGATAGGAAAAACAGGGTTGGGGTTCAAAGCCGTGGCACGCACCGTTGGTATGCCCACTGTGGGCGTGATTGGTACAGCTGGCGTGGTGGGAACTGCAGGCACTGCGGGTATGCTAGGAAAAGCTGGTGCTGAGGGGAATGTGGGAATTGCGGGCAAAGCGGGAGATGGGGGAAAACTGGGCACGGCGGGGAAACTCGGTGAAACCGGTCCAGCAGGAATGGCTGGTATTGCGGGCACAGGCGCGGCTGGCACGGTGACAGGGATACGTTGTGGCTGAACGAAGCTCGTCTGGAAATAATGAGGATACGGATGTAACGGCTGTACAGATGTTAAAGGATGAGTCGTGTGTTGTACTTGCACAACAGAATGGACCGTTTGAACCGGATTTACTGGCGCTAAAGCAGGCACTGGTTGAAGCGGTTGGACTGGTTGTAACGGCTGCACTGGTTGCAACGGCTGCACTGGTTGCAAGGGTTGTACCGGTTGCACTGGGTGCACTGGGTGCACATGAGCCACCGGTTGAACGGGGGTAAGATTCGGCACAGCTACCACTGGTTTTTGAGGGAAACGAGGATAGTTTACGCTGTAGGAAGAAACGACAGCGCCACCAGGACGCAAAACGAATGGCGAAACAGGAGCAGCAGTTGCGATGGGGGGCCCCACAGGTGCCACAGCGGGCGCAAACGGAGTAACATGCAAATGCGGTAATGTCTGCACAGCCGGAGGCGCAACAGCGGGTACAGCAGCTGCAGTACCAAAACTGATGGCGGTGTTGCCTAATCCAATGTTAGAACCAGCATATGAGGCTATAGGAAACGCGGCGTGACCAGCGGTAAACTGTTTAATATGATAGCCTCCAGCGCTTGGATACTTCAATATTGTGGGCGCGTGAGCATGTGCAGCGTAAACGGGTCCGTGAGCGTAGGCAGGCGCTTGAGCGAAAGCTGGAGCAGTCGCGTATATGGGTGTATGAGCGTGCGCGTGCGCGGCTACATTAGAAAAGGCAGTGGCGCTTGGCAAGTTCAAACTATATCCATAATGTGCAGCGTAGGATTTAGGCCAATATGCGGCTTGGGCAGCATGTGCGAGCAGGCCGCCATTGTAGTAGATGCCACGTTTGTGCACATCCTTGCCAACATCTTCCTTGCGCTGCAGCACAGCTGGCGCTGAAGACGATTCTGAGGACTCTAACTGTTTGTCTGATTTCTCATCAATTGACGCGTTTTCAGTTTTCTCTGCTACTAACTGTATATCCTTTTTCTGTTCACTTTCCACACCACGCTTCTGACCGTATCTACCAAGATCGGCGTTGCTGGCAGCAATAATTGCCAATAGCGTGAGGGCTATTAATAAATTCACTTTCATCGTTGCTTAACACAATTTTTTTCGATATTATATAACACTTGTAGTAGCGTTTAATTGAAATTTGTTCCACAAGTCTCACGTCTGTTGTGAAGTAGCGTACGCACTCTAAACGACGACGCGTACGCGTCTGCCTTTCGTTTAACAATAAAATGGACTTCCTACACAGATGGTGTATTTATAAAGCGGATGTGCAACTGCTGGACGTTGGGTGGTTGAGCGGACTGCACACGCCTATTGCATGCGTCGAAGAGGCATTTAACGTACATAACAATGGCTCTCCAACTACTGTGTGCCAGCGAGCAACACTTCTCCACTGCGCTTTGCTCCAGCCCGATTTTGCAATCGACGTCCAATCGAAGACGTACGTGCTCAATCGGTTATGTATGCCTGCTTTAAATTTGCATTTTTTGGCCAGAAAACTATGTAATACTAGTTGAATTCCACCTGTTGTACCCCGGAACGTCTCAATCATACCGCTTAAACAGGTAATACCCCTGACAGCAGCTAATCAAGTAGCTGGTCAATCAGCCAATACGCTAATCAGTTTAAGTTGCGCATTGTCTAACAAATAATACATGCTTCCCACGTACTTGCGGTTACTCACTTATAAATATTTCGACGCTGCTAGGCCGTTGGTCTTCTGGGTCTCCATTAATGTTAATTTTTTTTCTTTTTATTGCTTTTATGTCACTTACACTAACACTAAGTCTAAATATTTCACTGCCTTTTTTCACTTTGTAGTCAACGATGGGCACTGACTTGACAACTTCGGTCGACGCATTGCCCTTGATTGGCATTCTCCTCGCAAAATCGAAAGTGAGCGAATTTATTTGGTATTATTGACCACTTCACGAAACGTTATACGTACGCAATTGCTATACCACGGCAAGAATTATAATTACGGATTTCTCACGCACCTATTTTGTCAATATATACTTAATATAGATATTTAAACGCAAGTAGATATATTTCTTTATAGTGAAACTATTTTTTCAAAGAAAAACTTCACGCTTTTAGCAACAGAAGAAATTGAACAAGTAGAATAGACCGAATTTATAAGTAAAACCTTTTAGTGGTACCAATTTTTTTTAATTTCAATCAACCATTTAGCTTCCTCTTTTCTTGGACTGGTTGAGGAATTTGCTCTTGAAATTTTTAAAGAAATACCAAACAAATTTCTCGAATTCCTCATAACCCTATTTTATCAACTGAAGATCTCTTTCTCCTTTAAGCATACGAAATAAAAACGAAGTCAAAACCATTAAAAACAAAATGATGTCAACTTGCGTCAGTTGGCGAAAGACGAGATCTAGGGCAATCAGCACAACGACTTGCTTGCCAAATAGCCAAACCAATAGCTCTGCTCCAGTTCGGTGAATTATATCAGCAGCCAAGACACTTGGTATCTCAACGTACTGTAAACAGATTACAACACACTCGTATAATGGACACGAATAAAAACTCTTTACTGAGCAGATCATACACGCTAAAAGTGAAGCAGCACAAAGCTAGCAACAAAAACCAAATAACAGAAGAGACAAAAGACTGAGCAAACAACTCCTGCAACTTCCACTGTTTATTGGCGGCATTGTTTAAAATTCTAAGCACATTCGTGTACGACACAAAAGTCGGCATACTGAACAGTACGCGTGCGCGCACGCTTAGCTACGCCCAAAAGCTAACAGCAGCAATAAAGGCAACAAGTTTTAAATGCGCCAGCAGTAACAAATATGTGTTTAGTTAGCACTAAACCGATATTTTTTAATATAAAGTGTATGCAATTCAATTTGACGAAATTTGACTTTTGTAATTAGGCACTTTGAGCGTTGCAAGGCAGGGAGAGCACGGAGACGGTAGTGAGGTAAATATTTGTGCGACGGCAGTGAAAGCTTAAAATTCCTACGACCCTCGATAATTTAGCATTATAATTGCATTTTAAAGCGTTTGAAATTTTTGCGAATTTGGATTGTTGGAAATTTGCTAAGAGTTGCCGGCAAACACAAGAACGCATGCACCATACATTCTTATGTAAAATATTTTAAAATAAAATTTTTTATAAAAATGGGTAAACAATTGTTAATTTTTCTAATTATAGAGTATTCAATTTGAGTATATCTTCAAAATGTCAATTTAATCCTTTTACGCTAACAATTTACACATAACCTCAAATATGATGACTCTGCAGCTATGTGCACATAACTCTCCTGAACTTAATGTAACGCCGGAAGAGTATTTTCAAGTAATTTTATAATCACTAATGCTAAATATAAATAATAAACACTGAACGCACCTGCAAGAATACTTCGCTTGTTGTTTAAAAGCACATTTACCCACGGGAGCACCTTCGGCAATATATGCTCTTTGCGCTTCATTTTGCAACGCACTTTCACTCTTAATTTACACTTTATGGATGCACTACGATAATAACTAACAAGCATACACATTTCAACACAAAAACACTTAATGACATATACAATATACGCGCACAAATTAATTTTTCGCTTTAAAAAGAACGGAAGCTGACAAAATACTAAAACAGCTGAGAGTCACAATAGCGTGGATGCTGCGCAGAGCACAGGGTGCATCAGATGCTGATGTTTATTATCAGAGTAAAATTGACTGATAAAGAAAAAACTAAATATTTTTAAAATCTATTTTGTTCGTTTTAAAGGAGTTAATATAAAAAGTAGTCAATAATATTATATTAATAATAAATTTATTTGTTAAAAAAAAATAATGTTTATATTAATAGGCATGCAGATGAATTTAAATTGCTATTATAGCTGTAATATGATATATTTATCAAAATTTTAAAGAAATGGTAACCCTCATTTAAAAATAACGGCCTCCTAATAATTTATTTAAAAACCAATGGCACATATTAAGTCTGCCATAAAAGTATACGGCGTAATTATATAACTTTTGCAACAAATACTAAATATTATTTGAAAATATTATGTCCATCTATTTTTGACGTTAACGTCGTTTTCAAAATATTATGGTCGCATGACTAAGTTTGTTCATGTGTTGATTTGTTGTTGTTTGGAGCGGTAGGTGTTTAATTTATTTCTTTTTTTTTTTTTGAGTAACTGGATTTGCTTTTATTTCAGTGAGACAAGTGCTCGCACATACATATCGAATATTACGACAGCGCCCATAAAAGCTATGCTATGCGGCTAAAATTTCACCTTTATTTGGGTGTGTGCTACAAGAAATTATATCACACATACATACGTGCTTGGGTGGCATTTGTCATTTTAAACACGTATCAAATGTATACAAACACTCACATATCAAAAGCACATATGTTTATAATACTTTAATAATATTTACAACAAATGTCAGAGTCTCACACTGTGTCAGCAATGCATGGCGTATGAGTAACATGATTTGTAAATAAATAAAACAAATTTGACAAATCGGAAAATAACGTTTTCACATTTCTGATTAATATTTACATACATATGTGTGTCGTAGAAAACTAAATAAACAATTTTTTTGCGAAAATATTGATTTGGCTTCAATATGTAGAAGTCTTCTACAGTGGATTTGTTTTGAAGCTACTCTAAAAGACTCTTTGTTATATAGAGCTATGCAAACAGAGGACACGTCAACCAAATTTTTATGGAAATTATTACTGCCAATTTTATAAGATTGAGAGCTTTCAAATATTCTATTTGAAAAAAAATGTCATGAAAATTGCAAAATTAACAGAGATTATTTGTTCTTCGTTCAAGTCCACGATATATGTACATATTTGCGCCTGTTTAAAGGTAACTAACTACATATTTCAACGAAAAGTCGTCCGCCCATAAATATTACTTCTTCAAATTTTATAAATTTATGCACAAGCATTAAATTAGCGCTCGTATAAACAATTAGTATACGTGTACTGATTTTAAACACATATTTTTGAATGATTTATTTTTTTTTTTGTATACTTACGTATGTATGTATATGTGTATATGTCAAAGAGTTTATTAAAAATTATGAGGTTTAGAAATTGCTAAATATGCATTAACCTGTATGAAAATGCCAACGCTAACTGTATTTATTAGTTTTTGTATTCATATTCAGGTACACTGGTGATTTGTAAAGCAAACAGCAATTGGATTTAGTTTTATTAGCACTTGTATAAAATAAAGTACGTGGGAAAGTTGAAACAACAAGGTCGCGCGACTTTACTAAGCTTAACTTGTTTAAGCGCTCAACACTTAAACACTAAATTTGTTGCAATATAACATAAAAATAAAATCACGGTATATATAAATTTACAAATTACTTTATTTTGTTATATACGTAGTTTAAAAGTTTAGAAATAAACTTTTGGTAGGAATATATTTAAACTTAAAATAAAATAATTCTGTTTTATGTTTATAAAAGCTTCCAAATTATAGCTTAAAACCTGAGTGTATGCTCACAATGCCAAAAGTCAAGTTTTCGTAATACACCAATTCGAAACCAGCGTCCTCAATCATCTTCTTGAACTCCTCTTGTTTGGGAAATTGCCTAATGCTCTCAACTAAATATTGGTATGGCTGCCATTGTCCGGCCAAAATTTGTCCCATCGGCGGTATCACCTGAAATGAATATTGATCGTACATCCATTGCATTACACCATTCGTCAGATGGCTGAATTCCAAACACATAAATCGTCCACCTGGTTCCAAGACGCGGTAGGCCTCACGCAGTACCTACAAAATATGTATACAATTAAAAATTACACAATACATTATTTGGTGTCACATCAAAAGCACAATTTGCCGCATACCTTAAATACGTTTCTGCCCATGCAAATAGCAACAACAACAAAAACCTACCTTGTCAATATGCGTACAATTGCGTATGCCAAATGCTATAGTGTATGCATTAAAGGAATCATTTTTGAATGGTAATTGCTCCGCATCGGCTTGTTGCCAATTGATGCTTATATCTGGCAGGTGTTCTTCGGTGAGCATTTGAAGTCTGGCACGCTCTCTGCCCACATCCAACATGTGTTGATTTATGTCAGAGATAGTTACATAGCTATGGCGTTGCAGTTTATTTTTTTTCGCGGCCAGTTGACGTATATAACGAAAAGCAATATCGCCCGTGCCACCTGCCATATCCAACAGACGTGTGCCATGCATAGGCGCCAAACGATCCATGAACACATCCTTCCAAATACGGTGTATGCCAACGGACATAACGTCATTCATTAGATCGTAGGAGCTGGCCACATCCTCAAATACCTTGTGCACTGCAAAGCAGTATTTGCAAATTTGTAAAACTTATACAGCCCAACATTTTTTTGGTGCTCACCTTTCTGATCCTTCTCACTTTCTTTCACCTTTTGAAAACCGAAATGTGTTGTGCGTTCCTCAGACGCCTGTTGCGGAGCGTCGGTTTTGCCATCATCAACTGCGCCTGATCCAGCAATTGCTTGCACACTTTTGCTACGCAACTGTGTTAATAATTTTGTGCAGCTTTCATTGATATTTCTATATTTTATGGTGTTTGTAATAAAACTCGATGTAAAACTTCGCGCAAGATTCATTTTTGTAGAACTTGGACTTTTTACGTAAAAAACTATAATAAATGGCTGCCATGTACCAGCTGTTTTCGCAGAACAGCTGAGTTGAATTGAACCCGAATAGTTATCGACGCGCACAGGGTGTTACTGTTATCGTTTTTAAAAACTGTAGGTTTTGAAGCTCACTTTTCAATTTCTACCGACAGATGGCAAAAATTCAATACAGAATTGAAATAAAGTAATAAAATTAATTCAAAAAAAAATTAAATTAAATTATTTAAAAAAAAAATTAAAAAACAAATATGTCAGAATGTTAGACCAACATTTGACAACTGTGCGTAAAGCCACAAAGTCTGCTCTTTCCAGAAGTGAAGTCATACCTTTGTACTCCCCAATGGATTTTACAGCCGTTGCTGTTCAATATAAACACTGCGTCTATATGTTTTCATATTATCCTCTGCATTTATTGATTTATTTGATTTGTTTTATTAGCAATAATTTCTGATATATGAATGCTTGTATTGTATGTGGTATGTATTTATAATAAATTGTAGTGTTTAAGTTTAAAATTAAATACATATTACAAAAACAAAAAAAGTCCATTGATAAGCGTTTTCATTTATATGAATCATAGAATCATTTTTCTTTGCAAAAAACTTGGCATTTTAGCAAATTCATTTCCGCGAGGCAGTTGGACGAAATGAATTTGCCTTGTTTAAACATAAGGAATACTATTAATAGTATTAATACAAAATAACATTAGGTAACTATTTAAAGACGAGACTACCAACTAAGAAGGTGGCGCATGTGCACCCTTCGTAAGGGTGTCACTGCGCACGCGAAAAATACACATTTACATATGTAGTAGTATACATTAGCGATTTGTTGCTGCATATGCACTGTTGCATATGCAAATTGATTCCATATATATATTTCATTTTTATATGTTTTTTTTCCTTTTTTTTTTGTTTACTACACATATAATATAATAGATTTATGCATTAGTTTGTATATATATTAACATTTACCATGTAGAAGTAGTGCCAAGTCACGCCAAATACACTTTTTATGTTGTATATATGCATGTGCGACAGCTGGTTTCATAACTAATAACTAAGTGGCTGCTCGACTGTTGCGCAGGCGCACCACAGCGTATAGCGGCAATCCAATCACTACGCACTAAATGGTAAAGGGAACGTTAACCTAAATTTGTAGTTTATCCAATCCTCTTCCATTTTTGTTTTGTGTGTGTGTGTAATCCCTTACACACTTGCATAACTTAAGCCATTTGCGATTTTTGGGTCGTGTTTGTGTATCCTTTGCCATACTTTTCTTTATAAATTTTTACATTATTCTCCTCACAGCTTCCGCTGCACTCTAATTGTTTTGTTGAAATTATTTTAATTTTATTCAAAACTTAGAATTTCAGCTCCTCAATTCGCTCTGCATCGGACTTGAGATCTTGCAGCAGCAGTTCATGGCAAGACTTCGGTATAAGCGTGCCGACAATCTTCTCACCTTCGGTGGTCTTCAAACGTATCACTTGCATTTTGTTGTTGGCGTTGCGCATGGCCAACACCTGCTCGACGCGCGTCCAAACGGAGAGCACGGAACCGGCCAGAACGTAGTATAAACGCTGGCGCAAGCCAACCTGTAAGAAAGAAAATTGTGTGAACAAGTGAAATACTTAGGAAATGTGTATATGCGTACCCAACAAGCAACAATGATTTCTTAATATTATTTTTTTTTATGAATTTTCAGTTTTCAAACAAATCACAATCAAAAGAAAATTATAAAAATAAAACTGGCCGAAATGTGTTTGGGTAATTTTGCATAAATAAAACGTAATTCCTTTCCTATCCCTTGTTGTTGTGCTGTGCTCTTCCTTAATACTACTTTTTTCGATCACTCACCTCGCATTCATTGCCCAAATTGACATTGCGACAGTTGCCGTTCCAGTAAGCGTGCGAACAAGTGTTCACC